CTTGAGATGACATGTGTTGTGAATTGGCGCTATAAACTATATATAAACTGAATTGAATTGAACTCAGCAAGCCAAATTTGATTTAAATCATATGACTCTGTGTGTGTAGTTAATTGAACACAAATATAAAAAGTTTGTAGTGAATGCAGGTTTAGTGTTTCACTCAAAACTTAAAAAGAGAGCAACAAAAAGGTCAAACTGACTGATGACAATTATTATGCTGTTTTGACTTGATTTGTATCTTGGGCTTGTATTTTTATTGATTCTCAGTGTGTTTAATATCCAGAAGAACCAACACCTATAGGGGGTTGCTGAGTGAAAGGGCATGCATACTGCTGGGTGCCCCCCACCAGAGAAAGGCTCCATGTTGCAATAGCTGTATAACACCTGTCTTTTAAGGGAATAGAAAAAACATTATTTTTTTGGTCCTCTTCCAATGCAGGGCCATCTACAGGTATAACGCTCCATTTGGCTGCTTTCCAGTCAGAGACACAACAACATGTTGAGGTGGTGGACAGCTGGGCTGAGCCTCTCCACAGCGCCGTTCCCTATGTAGTTATTTTATTTGGTCAGAGGTAAAAAGGCATTCTGGCACAGATGTAATCTCAATTTCTTCACCGCTTTGCGCCGGAAAATCCCAGCTCTATAAGAAGCCTCCTATACCTGACAGAAAGTTCATTTCTGGCGCAATAAAATGACAATTGGACAGAGATGGAGCTCTCACTCAGACAATTTCTCCATAAGCCGACTGAAAATGTTTCTATGATATTTGATATCAAATCAAAAACATTAATATTTCTAAATGTCTTTAGAAACTAAATTTAAATAAAAAGAAATGTGGCACAGAGACACTCCCTTTTATTAAGAGAGACGAGGTCTGAATTTGGATCAACGGCGCGCAACAACTTCAGATGCACTTCAATCATTTGTGAAAAGTATAATCTAATATCTTTAGATACTTTTATGATTAACTGCAATTATAGTGTAAATATAATCTCTAAACAATGGTATTAACAGCCACTGCAGCACAAGTGCGGTTAAAAGGTAGGACAGAGAAAAAAGGCAAAGTTACGCACAAGGAATAGTTCTCAGATATTTAAAATGAACATCTCTGTGACTCACCTAACTTTCAGTGTCTTCCTTCATCCCGATGGCTGGTGCGCTGATCGGGTCGGATCCCGCTCTGATTGCTGAGTCGCGCTGGGAGGCGGCTGGCGGAGCGCCAATGTGCGCTCATAACGGAGCGCGCTCACATCTGCCAAGCCAAGCGCAGGTGCTAGGAGACTCTTCAGATGATGATGAGCAAAAAAAATCACTCACTGCTCTCTTGAGTTATTTTTTCTCTCCCCCCCACCCCCAAAAAAGGCTGTCCCACCCACCATCATCCTCATATCACCTCATCTCGGCTCAGCATCACTCCCTGTGCGTCATCGCATCCAGTCACTGTCGACCCCGCACGACTTTCCAAGCGGTCGTCACTCACTTTGACAACTGTCAAACTGCAGGACTAAACTAAAAAACAATTGTCCTGTCTTCTGACATTGAAAATAATCATATATTCCTAGGTTTACATTTATTTCAAATGTCTTCTTCAAAGAATACAGACTGAAAAGCTGATGAAAAGTTTATTTCTTTTGACTTGTGACACTTTTTACTTTTTTTTTTCATGACACTGCAATAAACCATAGATATATTCAGCAGGAAATAAAAACATAAAATATTCCCTTTTCTTTCTTACTTCCACAAAGTTTCCAATTGTAACACTGCATGTTTAAAATAAATAATTCTAAAAGTTTATTAAATATTCTATGGTATATATGAATAGGAAACAAAATTATTCCTGAAATTTAAATGTATGGTCTCTGACTTTTAAACCCATTTGGAGCAACTACTTGTCAAAATAAACTTTTCTGCCAATTGATTTCTTGCTGATTTGTTTGCTGAGGTTTGTTTTTACAAAACTTACTAAAAAATTATCTTATTGTGTTAACCCCAAACCTTTTCAGAAATCCTCATGTCCCTTGGATATTATAGCTGTCATGATCATCAAATTTTATTTGACCAAATCAACAGTGTGCATATTTGAGAATGAAAGGAGACCTAGATTTAAAAAAAATACTAAAAAGAAAAAAAAAAGAAAGCCATTTGAAATTTGGAGCTTGGCAATGTTGGAGAAAACAGACATGTAACTGCACTTCACGCTAAATGCAACATCCCTGTGTTGATATATGGGGGTGGTATCATTATGGTTGCGTTGATGCTTTTTATCAGTAGGAACCATGGAAGCTGGGTTAAAGTTGATTGGAAAGGGAATAAAGCGAAATACAGAATGATCCTACAGAAGACCTGTTACATCCTGCAACAGAGTCGTGACCAGAGGGAGGAGGCTCATTTTCCAGCAATAAAACAACAAACAGACAGAGCTACAGTTAACAGCCTCAGTCAAAGCTTCTTTCACTTTTAAAATCTTCCAGTCAAATGCAGGCCGATTATTATTATATGTATGTATCATAAAATAAAAATTAATGTTCACACACATGCTTCATAAACTGGGATAGACACTGATTTGCTGCTCTAGTCTCAAAAAGAGGAGGTTATATATATAGTTGCTCTACACTGAATATAAATCAATGACACATTGTTCTTATTTTTATCTATGAAAGAATAATCAAAGACTTTTCACATTACTTTCCCATTCAGCAATTATTTGCTTTTATTACTTATTTCCAGACTCCATATTTCAGTCATATCTAGATTAATTACCATTTTATCCCTTTTTCTTAAATCCATCTAATAAACATTGCAAATTATGGTAAAGTGAGGTAATAATTGAATTAACACCTATGAATATAATATCTATTCCCATTCAGCAAAAAAAAAAAAAAAAATACCATAAAAGAATTATGAAGGCATTCATCTTCTTTACTTCTACAACCTACCTGACATCTGTATACATTAGATACATAAGTCAGTGCAATTAACATGTGAAAATTTCAGTTAGTTCTTAATTATCCACAATTTTTTTCAAGCATGCTCCATGTTTCATCCCATTAAAAAGGAAGGGAAACAAATCACTGTGAATAAAAAATGTACAAAGATTTTTTAGAGGAGGTAGTCACTTTTCTTCTACACTCTGGTCAATACCGCAGTTCAGCCAGACAGCATTTATCGTTTTTCATGAAAATGTAGAGTTCACCCAGAGCAGCAGCCTGCTTAGACAGATGTTCAGTCTGTCTGTGAAGTAAACTGACCACTTAAAGAGCTGCTTCAGCACTCAATCAATGACCAGACTTTCATCTTACAATGCTTGCCTTTTTTTTGCCCACCGGAGGTTCTGTGGAAAAAAAAAATCGACTTCTTCATGTTAAAAGCAAAAATCACGAGCACAGCTTCCTACTCTCTGAAGGCACAAACCCAGCAGAAGGCACAGGAGGATATAATTGGACGTCCCTGTTATGTATGCACAATAAATTGATTATTTCATCAAATCAAATATGAGAAATGGAGCCGCTTTCAGAATTGACAAACAATTTTCACAGCAATTTGGGTTAGAACTGTCATTACCTTTGAGGAGATTACCTCTATCTTTGTCCATGCATACGTGGCGCTGGAGGAGAGATCAGGGGGAAAAAAATCACTATTAACACAACAAAAGTTGAGCAATTATGTCATGGATTGAAACAACCAATGGTTCTCATCTGCTTGCTGAGCGTGTTAGTTTCTGGTCTGTGTGTTGCAAAAGTAATTAAAGCAGTCTGACTCGCCCATTCACTGAGGGGAACTGCAGGGTATGAAACATACTGAGATCAATATCTCTGCACAGGAATACACATTAACCATCACAGGGGTGACAACCCTGAGCCAAGCATTCACAGTAATGTTGGCATTTACAGTGACATTCAGTCTAATTGCATATCAAGAGAGTTGCTTTTCAGCAGTCCCGACTCGGATAAAATTCTGATAAGAGTTCAGATTTCAGCAGGTAAATAAAGACAGCTAACATCCTCCTGCAGTTGATGCAAAAATCCCCTCCTTTCATTCAGATGCATTTGTCATTGAAGCTCTTGCTTCCTGCGTCATGTTGTCATCCTTTCCTTTCAGTATCCCAGCTATACTGTGCCTGCTTTTGTTTAATTCATGAGCTTAAGGCTAAAAAAACAGAGTTTTTCATTATGGTAAAAATCTGATATTTCCGTCATCACTCAGATGAGGCTCTGCAGGGTGGGTTTCAGCAGTCAGCCGTCCTCCTACACACAGATCGACTCCATCCTTGCACCTGAAACGACTGAAAGCATCAGAGTTAACATAGTGGATTGGAAGAGTCATGACTGTGCCGTGCAGCAGCTACCTGGTATGAGCGTCAACACATCACTGTCTGGCACCAGCTTGCTGGATTTGGAGCCAAGTGCCTTCATTCTCTGATTAAATCAAAACTGACAAACTTTTTCCTAATAAATTTTTCTCGATCATCTCCAGGACTCCGATATGGTTATACATTCACATAGAGCCATCTCAGACCCTGTTTCCTCTCTCTAAGGCAAAGGGCTAGTCATTAAAAGGGATTTTGCTACATCAGTGGTTAATATGATGTTCTCATTAGCTAGGTGATTAAATCTGGGAAGAAGAGCTTCACATTTATCTTATCTCTCTAAGAAAGTGCATTAATAAAGTGGAAAGTGAGATTGAATGTAAATGGCTTAGCTTTTTATTATGCTATTATGCAGCCATGTTTTTAATGCTGCATTAGAACGTTTTTTTTTTCTTCTTTTTTTCCGGGATGGTGGCAACCAACGTCAATTAAATTAAATCAAGTAGGCGCACAAGCTTAGATTAAATTATCATTAAATCCGTGCTGGTTCAATACATATATATATATATATAGTCTTATCAAGTTCAATAATCAATAATATTACAAATTTCATGTAATATACTTAAAAATATATTTTCTTACTGAAAATATATTTTTATATTTTCAAAGGTCAAAGGAGGACCTTTGACCTGAGATATGCAGTTTGCCATTTTCTTGACTGGAAATGAAAGCAGACACTATGGTGAGAATAGAATAGTGGTTTGAAACCAGAAGACTGTATGGAGCCTGTGTGACTGAATTTAAAAGAATTTGAAATCTGCCATATCTCTAGATTAAAAACTGTTTATAGTGGAGGACATTCAAAACAACTGGCAACATCTGGCATCAAAGCAGGTCCACCCTGAAATCAGTCCACAAGACACTAGAAGAAATTCCCCTAAAATGATTTGAACTGCCAGTTTATTCATATAATATATTTCAGAAGCGTTTCAAATGTTGCACATGAGAAAAAAAGAAAAATAGGTTATATAACAGTGGCATAAAGTTAACATGGTCTTATAAATCTAATGAAAATGAATAATTATGTAAGATAAAAAGAAGAAAATAAAGAAAAAGATTGTAATCTTTATACACAGGATTTTTAGGTGCAGCTAAGGGCCAGAGGGGGTCTGGTTTGGGGGCCAGTGGATTTTGTCCCAGCTTTCTGCAGGGTCCCTGCTGCCGAGGCCTACAGCATGCACTGGGACGGTTCTTTGTCGAGTGTGAAGTGACTGGGATGACAATCAGGTCCTCCAAGTCCACAGCCATGGTTCTTGACTGGAAACAGGTGACTTGTCTTATTTAGGTTGGAGTAGAGTTCCTTCCTCAAGTGAAGAAGTTCCAGTTTCTTGGAGTACTTTTCACAAATTATGGGAGAATGGAGCAGAAGCTTGAAAGACGGATCAGAGGTGCTGCTGCTGCTATAATGCGGATGTTGCACCAGTCTGTTGTGGTGAAGAGAGAGCTGAGCGACATACAAAGTCTTAGAAATATAACATATCAAGACCTGAGGGAGTGCATAAGGTTCTTGTCGCACAAATCAACATTTCCAGCGTGGGGGAATTTTGCAGCTGCTTACAAAGGCAACTAAAAGCCTCCTGGAGAGTTTTTTATATTCATATGACACAAAGGTTGAGCTGTTTTGCCTCTATAGAGACGAGAAGGACTGTAGAAACTAAAACAATGCTTTCAAACCTGTGAACACTTTATAGACAGTCAAGCATGGTGGTGGCAGCATCATTCTTAGAGTCTGTCACTGCATTAGAGCAGTTCTCAAGAAGTTCTTAGTTCCTAGTTCTTCAACTTCCCATAAAATCAACAGCTTGATTTCTGGAATGTGGACAAAGTTAGTTGCCAAGATAATTGGCCAAAATGTAAATAATTATAGGATAAAGCAGACAACCACTGAAGTTCTAGACTGGTTTAAAAAAC